TCTCACTGCACCCGTGGGATTATTCCTTCTCTCACTGCACCCGTGGGATTATTCCTTCTCTCACTGCACCAGTGGGGCTTTCTGACATGAAGTAATTGACATAGAGAAGGAGGTTACAATCTATCTGAATACAAAAACTGGCATGGTTATGGTACATGTAGAATCCAGTGATGGTAAATGACAGGGCTATTCAATAATCTGTGATTTGTGGAATATTTCAATCTGGCAAAATTCACACTACATTCCAAAGCGTTATAGTTTGGGAAAGATTGTGATAGCTCCAGACCCTGATAGCGGAGCAATGTTTTATTGGTGACTTTCTAATTTCAGTGATTTCTCTAATGATTTTACAGTTTTCAAGGAGAGCTAATTTAGCCGGTATTTTGACATTTTAATTTGATAAAATTCAGAATATGGGGAATAGACCATTTAGTGTTTGGGTAGTTCTACGAGGTTTATCTGCTAAACATTACTTTGATAGAATTCAGCCGTATCGAGCAATTCCAGAGGTAGATACATTGTACAGATCAGCTATTTTAGTCTTAATGTTACCATTATTTTTTCAGTTTCCTCCAATTTTTGGAAGCTTTTGAATTCTGCATTCAGGGGCCGGGCTGAATGCTTGACGGGTTTACATCTGGTGGGAAATTCATTTATCAAAGCAATTCTGTCACCTTACAAAATTCGTAAAGATAGAATCTTTCTAAGATGCTCATTATTAAGATTTAAATGTAGCCAAAAGAAGATGGCTGCACCTGCAGAGGACGCTTCAGGTAAGTATAACTACCCTCCACAGCACCCCTGGGCGTACGCACTCCATGAGAGGATGTCAGCATGAAGGTGTGGGCAAGGATAGCACAGAGGGCTTGGAAATCACTGGAGGCAGCAGGTCCGTTACTGAGGGGTAATCTATGAAAAATGCTTCCCTGCGGTATGTGGCATTCATATGCTGAATGTAGTTATTCATCACTGAACTGATTTCCCACTACAGCATATGAATGCTCCATACTGCAGGGGGACATTAGCTAACAGCAGGAAGCTGTGTATGTTTTTCGTAGAAAGTCAATGGATCCGGTAGCTTTCCTACAGACACATTCTCATGTTTATATGTTTCCTTTGCAGTAATGAATATGTGTTTATACCATTTCCATACGTGCAGACTACGTGGCAACTCACACAAAGCACATCCTACTGACTGCAACATCCAGCACCATCAGCCAAGAAAATATCCAATCCATAATGGCTTGTACCGGCAACATAGCAACTCCCATCACTCCCCAGCGCTATCTAGATATTGTGATAATGGCATAATGAATACCGCCCCTGTAACATGGGATCCCACGAACCGAGCTCGAGCTTCCCAGTCTATCCCTAAGGCACCCGGCAGGCTTTGCAGGGTCCCCTTGGGACAGAATTGGGGTACCTCTGAATCCTGCTGCTTCTCCCTGACTCCACATTTGGCAGTAAAACATGGTATTTCTGTATTACTGCGTAGTTATACTTAATGCATGCTGCGCATGTGTTACAAGGTGCCAGAGTGCGGCAGGGACACCTTTCTGCGCTGATGATGTTTATGGAAGCGTTTACCAATCCAATCCACGTGCGCGTGCGTCCACGTTGCTTTCAGAGTTACAGGTTACTTAGCTTCGTCCCAAGTGGATTGCTTTTAAAGCACATATTTAGAAATGTTGGTAAGTCTCACCTAGGAGCTGCTATATCAGAGCTCTTTAAACTGTTTGTCTGGGCTTGGATTTACCTTGACACACCTTGCACCGCTTCAGTGCTCAGCAATTTATAGCTCACTGTCTGGCAATTAATGAGTTACGAGGTGCTAATAATCTCCCACTATAATGTATGATAAGACATGAAGGACCATGGAAGGTAAATGATAAGTGGTTTAACTCTCTCGCCTTACCTGGTACTCGCCTTCTCGGTCAGTGTTACCTCCTCCTCAGACAGAACCCCCTCCTTGCGGCAGAAGTTTAATGAGAAAGGGGCTTGCAGCTCTTTGAAGCGGCTAGCAGAAGTACCCATCGTGTCTCTCTCGCTCGGCACTTAGCAGGACTGTCACCCTTGCAGTGTAAGTGTAAGACAGGAACTGCCTTTTCCTCTTCCCCCATATAACAATACTAAGGAGGAGCCCTTCCCAAATTAGAGAGCCTGTGTTCCTGACCTGGAGTCCCCACTCTGTGCTGGTCCTGCCAAGTCGACCCCCATTCCCCACCTCGCAGCAGGAACTGAGCCTGTTGGTACAATGTTTTACGCATATCCTGAGTGTAAACGGAGGTTTGGGCACCCTGCAATGGCACCTGTCGTAATCACTTATTGCACGTTTGACTGGCTTCCAAACCGCACAATGTCATGTAAAAGGGACAGAGAACATGCACCTTAAAGGTGTTGCAATACTTAGTTTACTAAAAATTACTCAACTAAATACACTTTACTATTGCCATTATTTCAAAATGCCTGAAACCTGTACTCTTTAACCTATTTTTTTTGCTAACTACTAAGCTTCTGGGACACAATTTTATTTTTGCGACCAATTCTTCAATTGGCGACTCAATCTTCAATTAGCGACCAATTCTTCAATTAGAGACCAATTCTTCAATTAGCGACCCACCTCTTAAATTAGTGACCAATTCTTCAATTAGCGACCAACTCTTCAGTTAGCGACCTAATCTATGACAATTAGTGACCAATTCTTCAATTAGCGACCCACCTCTTAAATTAGTGACCAATTCTTCAATTAGCGACCAACTCTTCAGTTAGTGACCTAATCTATGACAATTAGTGACCAATTCTTAAATTAACAACCAATTCTTCTAATAGAGACCAATTCTTCAGTTAGCGACAATTCTTTGATTAACGACCCAATTCTTCAATTAGCGACTCGATCTTCAGTCGTGACCAATTCTTCATGTACAGTATGAATAACATTACAATATTTTTTGCCAACCTTAGTATTGAAGGAATGCTGATGCAGTGAATGCCATTTTGGGGTAGTTGCTTGGATTGCTGTCATGTTATAACCTGCTATTATTGTTTATTTACACAGACTAAAGAAATCCCTCTTTAGTGGATATAGTGATGGTATATCATACATATGGCGACAGACACACTGATACAGTGAATGAACTTGGCCTGCAAGTTTACAATCATTAGAATAAAACTATATGGATAGTAAGAAGGGTCACACGAACAGCCCTTCAACGGAAATTATAATTTAATTATGTGACGAAATCCACTTCGCCACTGGGTTTTGGAGAGGACTACTTGCTAGCCTTTTACCTTTTGACTATGGCCCCTGGGATGTATTGCCTTTAAAATGTACTATTTGTGCCTATTGGGACTTGCCACAATGCTCGTGTTCAGCGAACGTGTTCAGCTGTGTTTTGACGTCGAGTTCATGGAACTCAAATCGGACACGCGACGGCACGAACACCGCTGAAACTTTACCTTCTCTGGCACTTCGACGGGAGTTTCAACATTGACTTTGTGAACGAACGGTCCCCGTTCGTGCGTTCGAAGTGAACTTAGTCATTGGAAATAGACCGGCCGCACAGCCAAAGTCTCTGGAACTGTTTTGGGCATGAAATCATGCGTGCGGTCGGTCAAAAAATACTTCCATGGAACTTTGGAAGCCATGCTCTGATCTGGGTGATTTTTGGATATGTTGTTCACTCAGATCAGGGCTATCCAGGGATGTAGGGAGATTTATGGGGATATGTTGGAGTTTTGGGGTGTTTCCGCACTTTCGGTAAAAATGGGTACTTTCTGCCTGTGGATAATTGAGTTAGTTCATTATCCACCTTAATGATATCACAGGCAGAGGGGTGGGATTGCTGACTGTATGTGGGAGTGTTACAGTGATCATTATTGTTCCCATTGTTTTATGCTCCTTGTGTCCCTGTTTTCCATCAGGTCCAGGGGTGTGCCTCTGGCCTGAAAAACTGTATAAAAACTCAAGCTGTTTAATAAACCTTCAGACCTTCTTACCCTCAACTCGCAGCCTCGTCTCATGTTGTAGGGAACTGCTATAACCACACTGGGGATTGCTATACTCTGTATACTCCCCTGCATGCTAATAACTAGCTCTTCTAAGAGCTGTTCCTGCTTCGATCTCTGAAGGAAGAGAGATTCACCCACTGGAGCCTGGGGCCTTGTCCAGGGTGGGTAGGAGACGTCGGGACCCCAACCAAGCTGCGGCGGTTCGTGGGGTCTGCAGTGCTTATGGTGTCTGGTGCGGTGCTGATGGTCCTTGGTAAGCACTAGGAGCATCGATTGACGGAGGATCCATCACAAATTAATACATATATGAAACTTGTGGTTAACCACAGGCCTTATCTTCCAGGCGGGAGAGCAAGTCCAGAGCAGGGAGGAGAGCTGGAAGATTAAGGGGACACACAAAGGATAGCTGGGACAGAAGGCAGGAGCAGCAAGCAGGGAGGAGAGCTAGGGCAGTAAGGTGGGAACAGGGAGGAGAGCTGGACAGTAAGGCGGGAGCGGGGAGAAGAGCTGGTACAGTAAGGTGGGAGCCGGGAGGAGAGCTGGGACAGTAAAGCGGGAGCAGGGAGAAGAGCTGGGACACTAAGGCGGGAGCAGGGAGGAGAGCTGTGACAGTAAGGTGGGAGCGAGGAGGAGAGCTGGGACAGTAAGGTGGGAGCGGGGAGGAGAGCTGGGACAGTAAGGTGAGACCGGGGGGAGAGCTGAGACAGTAAGGTGGGAGGAGAGCTGGGACAGTAAGGTGGGAGCAGGGAGGAGAGCTGGGACAGTAAGATGGGGGCAGGGAGGAGAGCTGGGACAGTAAGGTGAGAGCACGGAGTAGAGCTGGGACAGTAAGGTGGGAGTGGGGAGGAGAGCTGGGGCAATAAGGTGGGAGCAGGGAGGAGAGCTGGGACAGTAAGGTGGGAGCAGGGAGGAGAGCTGGGACAGTAAGGTGGTGTGACAGAACCATCTGTCTGCTGGATTTTTGCCCGTTCGTCTGTTTGTCCCCGTTCGTATGAATGGCTGGTTTCTATAGCCCAGCCATTCGAATGACTCTTTTTCCCGAACAAATCTGCCGAACGAACGGCCACCCAAGTGAGGAGTGTGCTGCAGGTTAACGAAGTGATCACCATTATAACGTTGTGGTTAACCGCAGACACTTCTCAATTAAACCGAACTCCGGGTGGTCGTCGTTCGTATGTCGACCACGAGGCAGCGGCCATTTTAAATCATGCGAACGCTCAGCGGTGTTTGGCTCTATTTCTATGGAACGGAAAACGGACACTTTTTCTGCCGAACACCGCTGAAACAAGGGAACGCCTGGCTGCCTCCACGAAAGCATGCGAACACCGGCCGTTCGGGAGATTGAGAGCATACAAAAGACTTAACCTAGATAGCCCTCCCATGGAGTCATTCGTATACCGAAAGACTGTAAGAACTTTGACTCCATGGCGATTGAACTATGTGTGTGGGATCTGAGCGCTATTCGCCAATAATATGCACTCAGATCCAGGCTATCTGGGGACATGTAATACGAATGGGAAATGTTCAGTTTTCATGTAGTTATGCAATTTTATGTCTTTTATTATTTTATGTTTAAAATGGCGACTGTCCTTGTCCTGGAGTTAATTGAGTTACTTGGTAATTAACTCCAGGACAGAGGGGAGGGAATCAGAATGCACTGTGGGTAAGATATGTGACTGTGTGTCAGAAATGTCCTTCTATCTGTCTGTAATTTAAGTCTTCCATTTGGTCCCCTAGGGGAGTGTCCACCAGGTGGGAGACCTGCATAAATACGGGCAGGTAGCCCACAGTAAAACCAGATCTTATTTGACCCTCAATGCGGAGCTTCTGTCTCGTTATTGGGGGGATTTCTTCTTCACGTTTAGAGACTGCTGGATGGAACGAAAGCCGCTTTGGGGATATTATTGTTCGACGGTTCCTAGCAGTTCGTATATTGCCGTTCGGGAGTTTGGAGCCGTTCGTGGATTTCGATCGGGAGATTGCCGCTTCCCCTGCATTTGGTTCGTGGGTTACAGAGTAAGCGAACAGAGACTGTACTGCAGCCGGGGAAGGTTTACTAAACGGCGGTTTGGCTTAAAGACACGGGAGGTGTCTTAACAGGTGGGAGTGGGGAGGAGAGCTGTTATAGTAAGGTGGGAGCGGGGAGGAGAGCTGGGACAGTAAGGCGGGAGGGGGGAGGAGAGCTGGGACAGTAAGGTGGGAGAGGGGAGGAGAGCTGAGACAGTAAGGTGGGAGCGGGGAGGAGAGCTGGGACAGTAAGGTGGGAGCGGGGAGGAGAGCTGGGACAGTAAGGCGGGAGGGGGGAGGAGAGCTGGGACACAGTAAGGTGGGAGAGGGGAGGAGAGCTGGGACAGTAAGGTGGGAGTGGGGAGGAGAGCTGGGACAGTAAGGTGGGAGTGGGGAGGAGAGCTGGGACAGTAAGGTGGGAGAGGGGAGGAGAGCTGGGACAGTAAGGTGGGGGCAGGGAGGTGAGCTGGGACAGTAAGGTGGGAGCAGGGAGGTGAGCTGGGACAGTAAGGTGGGAGCAGGGAGGAGAGCCGAGACAGTAAGGTGGGAGCCGGGAGAGAGCTGGGACAGTAAGAAGTGGAGGGGGGAGGAGCTGGGACATAAGGTGGGAGAGGGGAGGAGAGCTGAGACAGTAAGGGGAGGAGAGCTGGGACAGTAAGGTGGGAGTGGGGAGGGGAGCTGGGACAGTAAGGTGGGAGAGGGGAGGAGAGCTGAGACAGTAAGGTGGGAGCGGGGAGGAGAGCTGGGACAGTAAGGTGGGAGCAGGGAGGAGAGCTGAGAGTAAGGTGGGAGCGGGGAGGAGAGCTGGGACAGTAAGGTGGAAGTTGGGAAAATAATATAATTGTGAGAATGGTTGAGATGTGTAGCTAAAGACAGAATAAACAGCTGATTTGAATCTCAGTTTTCGTGTCTATAAAGCCTCAGATAGACCGTTCCCGAATTGCAGACTGTGTATAATAATCATATTAATTACTTGACAAAGGGACAGGTTTCAATTGATAGATCTAATGTTTTTTTGTAATAAAATAGTTTCCATGCCTTAAACATTGTGACCACCTGTGCAGGTAAACAAAGTGACTGCCGTGGAACCTTTAAGTGGGGTCACATACCCCTCCATCACATGAGCTGGGGACCCCGTTTGGTATCTGCTATATACAGCGTTCCGGATCAGTGGCTCTAACCAATCTATCCTAGTGATATCACCAGCAATCAGGAGTGTCGGGTATAAAAAACAATAGACGGAGATTCCAACAACAACTAGCCATAAATATACATACACACCCTGCATTCAGAAAGTATTCAGACCCCTACATTATTTTCTCACATGTTAATGTTGCAGCCTTCTGCTATAATTGTTTACTTTATTTATTTTTTCACTATCCGTCTGCACTCTATACCCCGTCACATCAAAGCAAAAAACAGATTTTTTAAAATTTAACGTAAATTTATTAAAAAGAAAAGACTGAAATCTCACGTTGACATGAGACTTGCCTTCGCTAGGACATTTTAAATGATTTCTCCTGATCACATTTGAGATGTGTCGATACTTTGATTGAAGTCTGCCTGTGACAAATTCAATTGATCGGACGTGACTTGAAAGACGCACAGCTTTACAAACCCGGTGTTATTATTATTATTATTGCCATTTATATAGCGCCAACAGATTTCGTAGCATCAGTGTTCTGACAGTGTCACTTCTCTCCAGACTTGCCGTGGGAATACAGGTCTCCCCACCTTGATAAGTGACTGTGTGCTGAGTCCTCGAGGGGCTCACGTGGTTTTTCTAGAGATCCTCGATAGACCTCAGTGTTGCACTGGCGCAGCTCCTTGGAGACCCACTCTTTTTTTTTCTGTTTTCAATCATTTATATTAAATTCGTTATTAACTCCTTCCTGGCGTTAATAAAATTCACGTGATAAAAGCAGGTGAACAAAATGTGGGAAATGTCTTTGGAAAGTAGAAGTGCCACGATAACTCCACGTGATACAGAGTTCTATGTAAATGCTATCATTCTGTATATGATCACTCAGCGGGAGTAAATCACAAAACCCTTTAAATACTTACCTGATTCCAGCACCAGGGGCGTTTTAGCCGCGAGGCTAACAAGGCATTTGCCTTGGGCGGCATTTTTCAGGGGGGAGGCAAAAAACGCCACCCCCAAATGCCAAATGCATTGTTAGCCTTGCGGCTAACTAACATGCTGGGCGCTGGCTGGGCGGCTGGCGAGGGAGCTCTTCCTCTGAGCGGTCTGCTCAGCTCCCTCGCGCGCCGCAGAGTGAGGGTGGGAGCTGGAAGATGACGTCATATTCCGGCTCCCAGATCACTCTGCAGTGCGCGAGGGAGCACAGCGGACAGCTCAGAGGAAGAGCTCCCTCGCCAGCCGCCCACCCGCCAGCGCCCAGCCCAGCAGCCACTGGACCACCAGGGAGATAGAGAACCCCCCACCCACCCAGCATTCCCAAAGGTAAGGGGGGGGGGAATACATTTTTAAAAAAAATGTGTTAATGTGAGTGTGTGTGTCTGTTAATATGTGTGTGTTTGTTAGTGTGTGTGTGTGTGTCTGCTAGTGTGTGTCTGCTAGTGAGTTAGTGTGTGTCTGACTGTGTGTGTCTGTTAGTGTGTATGTGTGTCTGACAGTTTGTGTCTGTTAGTGTGTATGGGTGTGTCTGACTGTGTGTGTGTGTGTCTGTGTGTGTGTGTGTCTGACTGTGTGTCTGTTAGTGTGTGTGTGTCTGTTAGTGTGTGTGTCTGACAGTTTGTGTCTGTTAGTGTGTGTGTGTCTGACTGTGTGTATGTGTGTGTCTGACTGTGTGTGTGTGTGTCTGACTGTGTGTGTGTGTGTCTGACTGTGTGTGTGTGTGTCTGACTGTGTGTCTGTTAGTGTGTGTGTGTCTGACAGTTTGTGTCTGTTAGTGTGTGTGTGTCTGTGTGTGTCTGTTAGTGTATGTGTGTCTGTTAGTCTGTGTGTCTGTGTGTCTGTTAGTGTGTGTGTGTCTGTTAGTGTGTGTGTCTGTTAGTGTGTGTGTCTGTTAGTCTGTGTGTGTGTGTCTGTTAGAGTGAGTGTGTGTGTGTCTGTTAGAGTGAGTGTGTGTATCTGTTAGTGAGTGTGTGTGTGTCTGTTAGTTAGTGTGTGTGTGTGTCTGTTAGCGTGTGTATCCGTATCTGTCAGTGAATGTGTGTGTGTGTGTGTGTATTTAGAAGGCGGATGCGGGGGGAAGGGTTGGGTGGGGCTGGTGCGGGGGGGGGCTTCTGAGTTTTGTCCTGCCTAGGGCAGCACAAAACCAGGATACACGAGGTCCCTCGTCGCTGGGTAGGACTCCTCCTGTGCTGACAGCGCCGGGTGGGAACTAATGGGTGGCATGCTCCACGTTGGCATAAGGCCTTCCCCATAGGAAAACACTGGATGTCCTCATGCAGAGAGTGAGGATGTCCGTCGTCGTCGTTTCACGGAATCAAACTCCCTGAAACAGCAGGAAGTACTTCTAATCGATGTCTGTGAGACAGTCCATAGAGGCAGTCTTAACCCTGCAATATAAACATTGCAGTTTCTCTAAAACATGGTTGCTGACACTTGGTACCCTGGTGTAGGGGACATACCAGTGTGGACAGACCCCTGATGTAGTCAGCAGGGCAGAAAACACGCGGGGGAAGCTTAAAGGGGCATTATGTCAGGAATACAAATGTGCATTCCTGACCCTATATTTCTAAAACCTCGGGCTAGAAAAGTGATTCTGTGGACCTTTCCATGGTGTTTCTGTGGCTCTTCCCACAGTGACTCTGTGGATCTTACGGTGGTGTCTCTGTGAACCTTTCCGTGGTGTCTCTGTGGATCTTCTTGTGGTGTCGTTGTGCTCATTTCCATGGTGTCTCTGTGGAACTTCCCGTGGTGTCTCTGTGGAACTTCCCGTGGTGTCTTTGTGGACCATTCTGCTGTGTCTCTCTGGATCTTTCCACAGTGTCTCTGTGGACCTTCCCACAGTGTCTCTGTGGACCTTCCCACGGTGTCTCTGTTGACCTTCCCACGGTGTATCTGTTGACCTTCCCACGGTGTCTCTGTGGACCTTCCCACGGTTTCTCTGTGGACCTTCCCACGGTGTCTCTGTGGACCTTCCCACGGTGTCTCTGTTGACCTTCACATGGTGTCTGTGTGGAACTTCCCGTGGTGTCTTTGTGGACCTTTCCGCTGTGTCTCTGTGGATCTTCCCATGGTGTCTCTGTTGACCTTCCCACGGTGTCTCTGTTGACCTTTCCATGGTGTCTCTATTGACCTTCCCAATGTGTCTCTGTTGACCTTCCCACGGTGTCTCTGTTGACCTTCCCAATGTGTCTCTGTTGACCTTCCCACAGTGTCTCTGTTGACCTTCCCACGGTGTCTCTGTGGATTTTGTGGTGTCGTTGTAAACAATATAGCTAAAGTGAAAGATTTCGCCATTTCTTCTTTGTTTTCACTTTGGATCTGTTGGCCCAAGATGATACGTTTTACATTACCAGCACTTCTCACTTTCATAGCTAGCCGTGTGTGTGCGTAATAGAAAAACACTGATCTGAGTTCGAAGGATGTACAGGAAATGGAGGCCAACGTGTAATCTCTAATGACATATTGCTCTGAGATAAAAAACAATACGGAACGCAGCACGGTTTTTCTCTAAGGGCACACCCTGCGCGTCAGCAGCTTATTATACATAGCGCTAAGATTATCACAATAAACCCACAAAAGAAAATCAACAAGGCGTGAAATTTAGATCTTTATTTCCTGTTAGCTAAATCACCCACCAAGCCTGACACAAAGACATTGCTATAATTATTAACTGAGCATTTATTATTTCTTCCTAAATGTAAAAAAAACTTGTTTATTTAATATCCCCTCTTCCTGGCAAAAAATAACTCCATACTACCCCCCTCCATGTAATAACATCTCCGTGTATATAATAACTCCATAATATCCCTGTTAAGACACCTCTAGTGTCTTTAAGCCAAACCGCCGTTTAGTAGACCTTCCCCGGCTGCAGTACAGTCCCTGTTCGCTTACTCTGTAACCCACGAACCAAATGCAGGGGAAGCGGCAATCTCCCGATCGAAATCCGTGAACGGCTCCAAACTCCCGAACGGCAATCCACGAACTGCTGGTAACTGTCGAACAGCAATATTCCCCAAGCGGCTTTCGTTCCATCCAGCAGTCTCTAAACGTGAAGAAGAAATCCCCCCAATAACGAGACAGAAGCTCCGCATTGAGGGTCAAACTGAATCTGGCTTTACTGTGGGCTACCTGCCCGTATTTATGCAGGTCTCCCACCTGGTGGACACTCCCCTAGGGGACCAAATGGGAGACTTAAATTACAGACAGATCTGGGGACATCCCAGACACACAGTCACAGATTTTACCCACAGTGCATTAGGATTCTCTCCCCTCTGCCCTGGAGTTAATTACCAAGTAACTCAATTAACTCCAGGACAAAGCCAGTCGCCATCTTAGACATAAAATAATAAAAGACATAAAAATACATAACTACATAAAAACAGAACATTTCCCCTTCGTATTACATGTCCCCAGATAGCCTGGATCTGAGTGCATATTATTAGCGAATAGCGCTCAGATCCCACACACATAGTTCAATCGCCATGGAGTCAAAGTTCTTACAGTCTTTCGGTATACGAATGACTCCATGGAAGGCTATCTGGGTTAAGTCTTTTCGTATGCTCTCAATCTCCCGAACGGCCGGTGTTCGCATGCTTTCGTGGAGGCAGCCAGGCGTTCCGTTGTTTCAGCGGTGTTCGGCAGAAAAAGTGTCCGTTTTCAGTTCCATAGAAATAGAGCCAAACACCGCTGGGCGTTCGCATGATTTAAAATGGCCGCTGCCTCGTGGTCGACATACGAACGACGACCACCCTGAATTCGGTTTAATTGAGAAGTGTCTGCGGTTAACCACACGTTCTAATTGGGATCACTTCGTTAACCAGCAGCACACTCCTCACTTGGGTGGCCGTTCGTTCGGCAGGTTTGTTCGGGAAAAAGAGTCATTCGAATGGCTGGGCTATAGAAACCAGCCATTCATACGAACTGGGGACAAACAGACGAACGTAGTACAAATCCAAGCAGACAGATGGTTCTGTCACACGGCTCCCTCCTTGTGGGACACTCCGGCAGACCCGGCTTGACCCTGTGGCGGGTCAACTTGGGGATGACCGGACTACGAGGTGAGGGAAACGTCTGTTTGTCGTGACAACCCATCTGCATTCCCGTTCAGCTTACCGGGTCTGTAGCTGATGGTAAAATTGTAGGGCTGTAGTGCCAAGCTCTGTTACGGTACCTCCAGTAATGAAATGTACAAACCGCCGTTTAGCGAGTATTCCCCGTTCGCAATAATGTGGTCGGGTAGCGGGTATAATAAAACCATGCGAACCGCCAGCCAGGGAACACTCCAAACTCCCGAACGGTACCTGTACAGCTAATTCCCTTCACGAGCTGCAAATCCACGAACGGCAATTAGTAACCGAACGACAATATCTCCCAAGCGGCAAATAATCCAAATAAACAGTCTCTCGCCGCTGGTATCCAAATCCCCCCAATAACGAGACCAAGCTCCGCTTTGAGGGTAAAACACGAACTGATTTACTGTGGGCTACCTGCCCGGTATTTATGCAGGTCTCCCACTTGGTGGACACTCCCCTAGGGGACCAAATGGGAAACTGAAATCACAGAGGGACATGGGGACATTTTGGACATACATCCCCACAATATTCCCAGCATGCATCACAGTTCCCTCCCCTCTGCTCGAGGGATAATTGGGAAGTAACTCAATTATCTCCCCGAGCAGAGGCAATCGCCATTTTAAACACAAGTCACAAAAACACATGAAAATCCATAACTTCATAACTGCCGAACATATTACATTCGTATTGCATATCCCCAGATAGCCTGGATCTGAGGGCACATTATTGGAGAATAGCGCTCAGATCCCATTCGCACAGTTCAATCGCCATGGAGTCAAAGTCTCTTTCAGTTCTTCGGTATGCGATTGACTCCATGGGACGGCTATCTGGGTTAAGTCCATTCGTGTGGTTGAATCTCCCGAACGGCTGGCATTCGCATACTTTTGTCGATTGAGAAGGGGAGGTCGACGGCTTCAGCGGTGTTCGGCTGAAAAAGTGTCCGTTTTCCGATCCATGAAATAATCGTTGAACACCGCTGGTCGTTCGCATGGACAAAATGGCCGCCGCCTCGTGGTCGACATACGAACGACGACCACCCGGCATTCGGTTTTTAATTGAGAAGTGTCTGTGGTTAACCGCAACGTTCTAATTGGGATCAATAGGTTAACCAGCAGCACACTTCTCTTCTGGGTGGCCGTCCGTTCGGTAGTTCCGTTCGACAAAAACCGACATTCCCTTGAATAAAGCATACGAATGGGGAAATTCATGTAACCGGCAAAACAGGCGAACAAAGCATTTGTAATCCAGACAGATGGGTCTGTCACACGGCTCCCCCCTTGTGGAACACTCCGGCAGACCCGGCTTGACCCTTTGGCGGGTCAACTTGGGGATGACCGGACTGGGAAGAAGTAGGGACGTCTGTTTGCCGGGACAACCCATCCGCGTTCCCATTCTGCTTACCGGGTCGGTAGCTGATGGTGAAGTTGTAAGGCTGTAGTGCCAAACTCCACCTCAGCAGTCTGCCATTGTCTCCTGAGACCCGGTTAAGCCAGACAAGGGGGTTATGGTCCGTAATAAGGGAGAATTCTTGTCCGTATAAATATGGGCTCAATTTCTTCAGTGCCCAGACCAGGGCTAAACACTCTTTCTCCACTGCCGCATAACTTACTTCCCGGGGTAGTAACTTCCTGCTTAAGTATGCGACAGGGTGCTCTCCTCCATCTTCCCGACCTGGCTTAGCACAGCCCCCAGTCCATACATGGAAGCATCTGTATGTACAATAAAACGTTTGTTAGGGACTGGGGCAGCCAGGACAGGGGCATTCACAAGAGCCTGCTTAAGTGCTTGAAACGCGGCTTCACAAGCTGGAGACCACAGGACCTGCTTAGGCAAATTCTTCTTAGTCAGGTCAGTCAAGGGCTTAGCAACCGTACTGTAGTCAGGGACAAAACGTCGGTAATACCCTGCCGTCCCCAGGAAGGCCAGCACTTGGGTCTTGGTGATAGGTGTGGGCCAGTTAGCCACCGCCTCTACCTTAGCTGGCTCCGGTCTCTGGCTCCCACAGCCTACTCTGTGACCCAAGTACTGTACTTCTGCCATGCCTAGATGGCACTTGTCTGGCTTCAAGGTCAGGCCTGCGGCCCGAATCTTGTCCAGCACCACCCCCACGTGTACTAAATGGTCTTCCCAGGACTCACTGTAGACCGCAATGTCATCCAGGTATGCACATGCAAAATCCTGGAAGCCATCGAGGAGCCTATCCACCATACGCTGGAACGTAGCCGGAGCATTCTTCATCCCAAATGGCATAACCTTAAATTGGTACAGGCCAAATGGGGTGACGAATGCCGACTTAGGGATAGCATCCTCGGCCAGGGGGATCTGCCAATAACCTTTACACAGGTCAATGGTGGTCAAGTAGCGCCCCCTGGCAATGCGGTCTAATAACTCGTCTACCCGGGGCATAGGGTAGGCGTCAGTGATGGTCCGCTCGTTGAGCCGCCTGTAGTCCACACAGAACCGGGTGGTCCCATCTTTCTTAGGCACCAGAACTACAGGCGAGGCCCAAGGACTGTCTGAGTGTTCGATAACCCCCAGCCTGGTCATCTCCTGTATCTCCGTCCGCATTCCTTCTTGGACTGCTTCAGGGATGCGGTATGGGGGTTGTCGCAGGGGGTTCTGTCCGGGTGTCTCGACCTTGTGTACAGCTAGGGTAGTGTACCCGGGTTCTTGGGAGAACGTCGCCTGCTTCTCCCACAGTAACTGTCTCGCCGGGTTTAGCCGGTCCCCTAGCTGTACAAGACTAGTAAGGTCTGTCTGGGGGTCTCTCTCTAGCAAGTCAGGTAACGGTAAGTTCTCGGGGTCGTCAGTAGCTGGGGCACATACCGCCGCAACATCCTCTGGTCGTTCCTGATACTCCTTCAGCATGTTCACATGGAAGGATCGCTGAATCCTTTCATCTGAACAGCTGGCTATAAGGTAGGTAGTATCACACACCTGAGCTAACACTTTATACGGGCCCTGCCAAGATGCTTGCATCTTGTCTGTCTTCACAGGCTTGAGTACCAGAACCTTCTGCCCAACCTGGAAGACCCGCTGTCGGGCACCCCGATCGTACCACCGTTTCTGTCTCCCCTGGGCCGCCTGGAGATCCTCCCTGACCATCAGGGATAGTTTCTCCATGTGGTCCCGGAGCTCCAGGACATATGGTACTATGGGAGTCCCTTCTTGCTCTGTCTCCCCCTCCCAGTGTCCTCTAATGAGATCTAGGGGTCCACGGACCCTTCTCCCATAGAGTAACTCAAAGGGGGAGAACCCAGTAGATTCCTGGGGCACCTCTCTGTATGCAAATAGCAGATGAGGCAGGAATCGCTCCCAGTCTCTGCAAGTGTCAGTAAAGGTCCTCAACATCTGTTTGAGGGTGCCATTAAATCGCTCGCAGAGACCGTTAGTCTGTGGGTGATACGGTGAGCTAAGCAGAGGTTTAATACCGCACACCTTCCACAGCTGCTGGGTAAGCACAGCGGTGAACTGGGTTCCCTGATCGGAGAGAATCTCCTGAGGGAACCCGACCCTAGTGAAGATTTTAACCAGGGCATCAGCAACCGTCTCTGCCTCTATATTAGACAGCGCTACTGCCTCTGGATAACGTGTGGCATAGTCCACCACGGTGAGAATATACTTCTTACCTGATGGGCTAGCCCTGGCCAGTGGACCCACAATGTCAACGGCTATGCGGGAAAAGGGTTCTCCAATAATAGGCATCGACTGAAGCCTAGCTTTTGGGTGATCCCCCCGCTTACCTACCCGTTGACAAGTGTCACACGTGCTACAGTAAACCCGCACATCTCGGTTAAAATTGAGCCAGAAGAAATTTTGTGTGATCCTATGAGCTGTGCGTCGGGAACCTAGATGGCCTGCTAATGGCACATCATGCCCAATCCGCAGAATCTCCTGCCGGTATTTTGCAGGCACCACTAGCTGTCGATTCTGCGGAGGGGTACTCGGCTTCTGGGACGGTTTCGGGATCCTGTACAATCTATCCCCCACCCACTCGTAGTGCTCCCCATCTACTCCTTCTCCCCCAGAATCGGCCCTGGCCCTGTACTTGGCTAGCGTCGGGTCTTCCCTGGTTTCCTTCCCGTACATCTCTGGGGTATCCCAGCCTAAAGGGGCCTGGTCTAAGGTACAAGTCGGGGGAGAGAGTCTTACCTGGGTCTCAGCAGCAGGTGGGCCGGTCTCAGCGGCACGGGTCTGGGCACGGGTCGTGACAGCATCCACTTCAGCAGGACCCATGGGAGCGTAGGCGGAAACAAGGGGCGCCAAGTCATTGCCAAGGAGGACATCCGCTGGTAAGTCCTTCATGACCCCCACATTCACATGTCTGGCGCCCACTCCCCAATCCAAATGTACCCGGGCAACGGGCAGACGAAACACGGCACCCCCGGCCACTCGCACTGCGACCGTGTCCCCTGTATGTTGGGCTTCGGATACCAGGTGCTTCTGGAGCAAGGTCATAGTTGCCCCGGTATCCCGTAGACCACTGACCTCCTTCCCGTTGACTTTTACACACTGTCGGTGGTGCTGCCTGTTATCTCGGTGGGCAGCCTGAACGGGGTCTGCCTCATGCAGGATGCCCCAGCACTCTTCTTCCTCTACACAGTGAGCGGCTGGGGTGGGAGGTCGTGGATTGCCGCCGGCTGGTCTCCTCCAGGACTGGTTCTGGTTGGCGCTGTTCATCGGACACTCGGGTCGCTTGTGCCCTAGTTGCTTGCACAGGTAGCACCGAATGGGTTGGGCATACTCCCGTGAATTGAACCGAGGTGGCTGTTGGTACGGGGTAGATGGAGGAGGTGCTGCTGGGCGATGCATTGGAGGCTGGTATAGGTTGGCTGTCGGTTGGGCTGCTGGCCTGTACTCCACTCTGGCGGGAGCCTTGCTGATGAGACTGTCCAGTTTGCGGGCGTCATTATACTCATCTGCCAGGCGAGCGGCTTCGTGCAGAGTGGAGGGTTTACGGTCCCTTACCCACTCCCTGACCCCTGCTGGCAATTTATCGAAACAATGTTCTAAAAGAAACATCTGCAGCACCTCTTCTCCGGACACAGCCTGGCACCCCGCCATCCAGTGGGCGGCTGTGCGATGCACCTTACATGCCCATTCCACGTATGAGTCCCCAGAGGTCTTGACAGTGTCTCGGAACCTCCTCCGGTACGCCTCAGGTGTAACGGCATACCGGGAGAGTAAAGCTTCCCTGACGGCCACATAATCCCCAATCTCCTCATCAGGAATGGCCCGAAAAGCCTCGCTGGCCCGGCCTGATAACTTGCCGGACAATATAGTAACCCACTCTTCCAGGGGTACCTTGTGTAGGGCACATTGCCGCTCGAAATCAGCAAGGTACCCATCAATCTCTCCTTCTGTTTCACTGAAGGCTTTAAACGCAGTAAACGGTACCTTTTTCCTATCTCCCGGGTTTGCTGTGACTGGGGCTGCTGCAGCACCGCTTTGGCGAAGCAGGTTGGCCTCCACAGCTGCCATGACCCGGTCAATGGTCCCTGTAGTCGGGTTGGGACCATAATGTGCCAGCCTGATTCTTACCGCCCGGTCAA